GGGACCTCTTGTAAGTGCTGTGCCCTCCAGCCGGCCCCTCGCCCGCAGCCCCACGCCCGAAGGGGTGAGGGCCGGTGGCGAGCGGCCTTCGCTGCCTTTAAACCTGAGCCAGGTCGGGATTTGGGCGCAGGCAGCGCTCGGAAAGGCTCGGCCCGCGAGGGAGCGAGCCGAGGGCCGCAGGTCACCCGTGGAAGGGGTGACGGGGCGACGCCTGCCCTTGCACCCCCTGAGCTTAAAGAGAGGGGAGATCCGCCGCTGTCGCGTTTAGTTCCGCGGTTTTTAGGCCTCGGCGAGGATGTGCCTTTATTCCAAAGGATTTAGGGCTCCTGCGATTGCCAGCTTCGCTGTGGCTGTCACTGTGCTTTGAAGAGCTGTTTCCTCCCGATTGCCCGGCAAGCTGGGAATAATGACAGAAAATAAACTGGGTTGGAATAAAGCCCTTTAAGTATCTGGAAAGCGCAGCTCAGCAGTGAAAAGGCTCCTCTGTTCTGTACTTGGCACAGCGCGGGGTAAGGTCGCCGTGAAAGCCCAGCTCGGCCTGGCCGTTGCCAGCGACTCGTTTCTGAAACCCACCCTTCCCCCTTCCGCGAGGCTTTGCCGAGCGACGCTCCCGCTCTTGACATTCAGTCACGAGAGTTGCGGGGGTTTTTAAGTGCTAATATTAAATGACCTTTCAAGTTTCTGGGGTTTCTTCCAAACCCTCATTGCGCAACGATTTCCTATTTTAATGGTGGAAAAATGCCGCCTCCATCTTCCCACCTCCGGGAATGAAATAGGATCCGTCACGTTTACCCAGACCTGCTCTCCTCGTTTTGGTGGCGGTGTTACGGTAGCATACTTTAATGACTTTATTTTCGTACCTAAATTATAACTGATAGGCAAAGCGAGAGAGCCGACGCGCCTCTAAGGAGAGTTCCCTCCAGGACAACGTAAGGCAGTTGAAGTTCAGACAACAACTTTCACTGCCATCAAGCCTGAACCACGTTGAGGTTTAACTTGCAGCTGCTGCCTTGGAGACTTCAAATAATTATGTAAATTATGGAAGACAGAAAAAAAACAACAAAAAAAAAAGCCCAGTAGAGCAGTCTGGTTTGTTCTTTTATTGAGCAGTTGCTCTTCGTGGCATTACATATCTACAGGGCCAGCAATTCTTTCCTTGGCAAGGCAGCGCTATCTTTAAAGGAGCTTGCCATCCGAGAAAGGAGGTTGCCATCCAAGAATTATTATTTATTAATTATTATTAAAAACTATGGCTTCTGCCTGGTAGTATTTGGATAGTCTCGCTTCCTATCATCCCAGGACCGCGGCAGAGACTGACTCACAGGAAAACGCGCCTGTGAGCGACACGCCGGTCTTGTGGGCGAAAGGGGAAGCCTTTGGCTTTGTTTTCTTGAAGCTGAGGCCACGTGTTGTTATCGGAGGGTCAGGTTGTCTTTGTCATTTAAATGCTTTTGAATCCCAAGGGGTACCATTGTCTGAAATAGCACAAACGCGCTGCGACATGTCCTGGCAAGAAGGACGCTTCCTACGTGAAGTATGTTTGCTTCTGTTCTAGGTAAAAGCAGTGGTTGAAAAGTCCTTTTTACCATGGCAGAAGACATCATTAAAAGATGTAATCTGCCCTCTTTAATGTCTTCTGGGGGCTTGTTTGAATTGCTATCAATGTGAAGATGGATTCCCTGTGTTTTATAGCATGGGAAGTACCAGAACAGTTGCTGTATACCATTTATTTACCATAATGTTAAAATAGCCGTTATTTTCCGTAGAACAGCAGTGATTCCAAGTTTCAGTTTCAGGGTAGTGCTTCAGCTGTCCAAGGACAGGGGGATGCCCGTGGGACGCTCGCGTGGAGCACGCGCGTCCTGCCCGCGTCCCTTCTAATTCAGAAATTGTGCTGAAAATTA